ACTTCTGGGGTGTGAGTTTTCAGTTGCATATTGTCCTGGGGACCATTCAGGCTTGTTCGCATTTGTGTTCCTCACGTGTGCCCCAAAGAATGAGGTGATTTGGTAAAATGCTATGCCCAAGATTACTATCTGAGTGCCGGCGGTGGGGTGGTTCAAATAGCCTCGGCTATCACCTCATTTTGTCCGGTCGTGATGGTCAAGTGGATTAAGGCGTCTTGTACATACCAGTTGCGTTGCTTCTGGGAGTATGGGTTCGAGTCACTTCTGGGGTGTGAGTTTTCAGTTGCTATTATATATATAATATGTGTGGGTATGGGCGCTGGTTCTGGGCATAATTGCCTCGTCAGTGTAATTGTTGAGAGTCGTGTTGCAAGCAGTATAGTGGGCGTCTGGGCGTAGGCCAGGGGCTGGTGTGTGTTGCTCCGCCCGCTCGATCTCCGCTACTAAGCTGGGTTTGTTGACTGGTCAAGTGAGACTTTCATATTGGGCTTTTATTCGGCCAAAATTAAGGTCACGGAATATGTCCATTTATTTGTATCTTGTACTAGACTAATTTTAAACACTGGTCAAGACGTAGTTATATTTCTATGTAGGCCTAGTTGTGGGTGGTCGTGTAGGACCAATGTATCCGAGGTTAATAGACACAGCAGTGGAGCCACAGTGGAGCTGTGAGCTGCTGTAGGAGGGTGAAGCCCACGGTAAGGACAAGGGCGGCGAGAAGTGTGGGGAAAAACGGTGGCAACTGCAGGAAATGTGTGTGGGGAAGGAAGGGGCTCTTGGTCATTACCCTTTACCAGCACCAGTGTGCACCCCCGCTGGCTGCAGCAGTGGGTAGTGCTGCTCTTCTGCACCCTCACTGGCTGCAGCAGTGGGTAGTGCTGCTCTTGTGCACCCTCACTGGCTGCAGCAGTGGGTAGTGCTGCTCTTCTGCACCCTCACTGGCTGCAGCAGTGGGTAGTGCTGCTCTTGTGCACCCTCACTGGCTGCAGCAGTGGGTAGTGCTGCTCTTGTGCACCCTCACTGGCTGCAGCAGTGGGTAGTGGTGCTTTGTGCACCCTCACTGGCTGCAGCAGTGGGTAGTGCTGCTCTTCTGCACCCTCACTGGCTGCAGCAGTGGGTAGTGCTGCTCTTGTGCACCCTCGATCACTGGCTGCAGCAGTGGGTAGTGCTGCTCTTCTGCACCCTCGATCACTGGCTGCAGCAGTGGGTAGTGCTGCTCTTCTGCACCCTCGATCACTGGCTGCAGCAGTGGGTAGTGCTGCTCTTCTGCACCCCCGCTGTACTTGAAATTGGCTAAATATATCGAAGTATACTGTAAAAAAGCATTTTATGGTTGTGGTTTGCCTGATATGGTCATTGCAATTTGGATGATGGTTGGTACAATTATTGTGGTGCTTTGTGTCCTGGTAAGTTCATATTCAAATAAGTTTATCGAGATATACATACACACAAAGGGATGACGTAGCTCATGCTATTCTCACTTAGTGGAAGCGATGCAACCCCACCTTTACTGGGTAGTTATTGCGTCGACTTGTACCCTCGTTGGTCTTCATTAAGGACTATACTCATGCCCGTGCCACCTCCGAGTGGCTTAATCTTCATCAATCCTCGTTGATCAGTCATAATGATGTGCTCTCATTGGTCAGTCATAACGCTGAAGAATTTGTGGGTTACTAGTAACAAAGTGAGCTCTCATTGGTCACCAGTAACGTTGAGCCTTTGTTGGTCAGCCTAATGTAATCATCAACTTATATATTTATTTATTTATTTATTTATATACAAGAAGGTACATTGGGTTTGTGAGAATACATAGCATAGTACAGTAATTGCACTCTTGTAAAGCCACTAGTACGCGCAGCGTTTCGGGCATAGTAACCTGACCATGGATTGTATATTGTACTGGGGCTGGGAAGGTGTCAGCCAACTACTGAGGGGACATCCGTATAGAGATTAGTGTGGGTTGTGAGGCGTGCTCACCATTGTTACCCTACAGTGTACGTGAGCTCGTCGTCGACCATCGTGCTGGGCCAGTCGGAGCCCAACCAGTACGACACGGCCTACGCCCCGGGCTACTACAACGCCTCCCTCCTCTCCGGCGCCAGCACCTCCAGCAGCCTCTACTACGAGAGCGCCAAGATCAGGAGCATCTTCTACGATGGAGACGAGAACGAGTCCCAAGAAATAAGTCTTTACGTAGAAGGTTTGTAAGGGTCACGGGAATTATTTATTGGTTTTTACTTAAAGATGAGCAGCCTGACAGAACACGTAGATAGTGAGCACAACCTGAGATAGTTGGAGAGTAGAGCTGTATACTGTGCGTCTTAACTATATCTTGTGGTTTACATTACTTACTCGTTAAGACTCAAGCTTGCCAGTGTACAAGTAGACTATAGAAGCCCTTAAGACTGATTATAATGTTTATATGCACGTGTAACTGTACTTGTGGGCAGTTGAGGCCTCACGACTGGGCACTTGACTGTAACATGGCACAGTTTGCACTGGCTACTGTGCCAGCAGCAGCAGTAACTACCGGAAGTGTTGGTGGTGGCTTGCCAGCGACTGTGTGGAGCTGCTCAAGGCTCTCACCCGCATATAGTACTCCATGTTGATGACGTTGTGTGACGTATTGTGACGATATTAGACCAAACTACGACGTCATCACACTTTTGTACTACTTGATAGACTGGTTAATGAGTAGTGTGGACTTGGTGGTGACTGTAGGAGCGGTCTTCATGCCGGGTGACATGACCTACACATGACCTATGTGTACCTCTTGCCGGCCTGTGTCTCAGGTGGGTCATGGGCCTCTCTTTGAGTCCCAACACACACCTCCACTCACACAAGGTAAGGCTCGTGCTAGTATTGGCTTTAATAATACAGTTAACCCCCACGATTCCCTATGGGGAGGTGATTTGTAAGTGTTGTTGGCTGTATTTTGCATGCTGTATTATTGTTATTGCATGATTGTACATTTACATGTTTTGTGTGTGTATAGGGATATGGTTTGTGCATCTGTGTCTTTGTGACAAGGTAATGCGTAAGGTGATATATTTAAGAGAGCAGTACACACACATGCCTGGATTGGTTCATTAACTGTCAAGACTAAAATGCTCTATAACATGGTTTTTGTGTCGTGACATTTTTTCATTCATTACTAAATTTTTTTAATCCTGAATATTGCTGAATATTTTAGGTATACTGTACTAACACCATACACCATAAATCATAGAGTATACTTATGTATATTTATTAAATAATATTCATATGTCAGATCATGTTGTGTAAACTCATAATAAAATTATTTTCCATTGTTATAATCTTTTTAAATACAGTAGCACAATTTCAAACTTTTCTAAAGTACTGTACTTTAATATAAAGCTGAGACTTGTCATGTTTGATATCCTATGCTACAAGCAAGTAAAGGCTTTAAGATGGTCCTCTTCAGCTTAGGCTTGTGTACCCCGAGGCTATAGTCAGTACCCTAGACGCTGTGATCTCTACGTGTGCATTCCACATAAAACTATATCCATGAAGGTTACTTGTAACTCTTCACTAAATATAGTTGTAAAAGTAAATGTAATACTGTACTGTATTATGATTAAATGTATTGGATGTGTTTAAAGTTAGTCTATAATTGATAATCTTAACAGGAATATACAGTAGTCTTAATAGGATATACTGTAGTCTATAATTGATCTTAACATTTAGAACAGTGACTGTCCCAGGAAATGCTCGGACACAAGTCATTTGATGGTATTCAGTCTTCACAGAACAGTTTGTTATATGAGCGTGAAAAGAAATGTAAAACTGAATGAAAAAGATGATGTGATATGTTGGTTGCAGATGCCCTCAAGCTTGCCAGGGCTGGCAATTAATGTCGATAAATATATGCTGTAATAAAAATGACTACTGTAGCATAATTTTAGGTTTCGTTAGGCCTGTACAATACTGTAATAGATTGTTATTGTTTCGGTCTTGGCACAAATCTTACATTGTTTAATGATACACAATGTGGAGTGTTCATATTTTGTATACATAGTATATGCATCCCACTTGCTGTACTTTTGAAGTACAGGATAAAAAAAAAGGTGCATATGCATCCTGATTGCCATACAAAAATGTCTCATATTTTATATACACAAGGTACAGTATATGTATAATTTTTTTTTTATATATGTATATACACACGAGTTCTTATATTGTACAGCCAATAGCACACAGTGTTTTGGGCAAGTCCTTAATCCTAATTTTCACACACATCTCCAGGAAGCAACCTGTAACAGCTGTCTAACTCCCAGGTACCTATTTACTGCTAGGTGAACAGGTGCATCAGGGTGAAAGAAACTATGCCCATTTGTTTCTGCCTCCGTCGGGGATCGAACCCAGACTCTTAAGACTATTAACCCCGAGTGCTGTCCACTCAGCCATCAGGCCCCCCCATATATAACCTGCATACAGTGCAGGGGGTTATTTACATTTTTTTAATTATACATATGGCTCATTAATGTTTAGGCAGTCAACTGAAATATGCACAACCATACATTTTCCATAAATATTTTCCTATATGTATTCCAATTGTGGTGTGTGTTGTCATTTGAGAGGATTGGTTGAAATAATTAATGTTTAACAACTATTCTTAAAAAAACCTGCTCCTTAAAATGGACCCATATTAAAAATGTAAATATTTAATTGCAATTAAGGGTTCAAACAGTAAAATCTTTTACTTAAAGTAATGTGAAAGAAAATTTATGGTGGTGCATATTGCTGATGACTGCCTAAATATTAATGAGCCATACGTATAATTAAAAAAATTTAATATGCAGTTTATATATATGTATAATAATAATAACTCATTGTCAGGGGACAAATTCTTATAAATACGTTACAACATGACTGCATGGAGTGAAAGCTGTTTACAGTTGCCTCAAGAATGTACAGTAGTTGTAGTGAAAGAGAAACCCTATGTGGAACTAACAGATACTCTAATGTGGTGTCTACAGGTGGTGACTCTGAAGAGGAAGACCCCACCACAGGGCACTATGAGGCCATCTACGAGGTTATCAGCCCAGCCCAGGAGGACTGCTTCAACCGTGCTGATGACAATGACTTCGATTCCTTTGATTCCGATAACTCAGATGATGATTACTGCCGACTCAGGCCACAGGTTAGTGTCCTTACTTAGTTCTGCTTTTCTAGTTGTCTACGTGAACCAGGATTCAGCTCCTGAGCTCTGTGTTTACTGTTTGTTTACTATTTGTCTGCAGAATCAAGCTATTAGCTCTTGGACCCTGCCTTTCTAACCAATCTATTTTTCCTCTATATATACTACATATATTTCTCTCTAACACACAACCCCAGGAAGCAGCCCATAGCAGCTGTCTAACTCCCAGGTACCTATTTACTGCTAGGTGAACAGGGGCTTGAGGGTAAAATAAACTTCCCATTTGTTTCTGCCTCAGCCAGAAATCGAACTCAGGCCCTCATAGCTATTGTGCATTTGTCTATTTTTTCCAGTGCTCTTGAAGACGTAAATAATATAGTGGTATCTCTGTTTACAAATTTAATCCGTTCCCAGAAACGGGTCCTAACTCAAAAATTTGTAATCAAAATGAATTTTCCCATAAGAAATACAGTACTGTAATGTAAATTGAATTAATCCGTTCCACACTCACAAAAATATTAACATCAAAATACATTTCATACATAATACACACACAATTTGTACTATTGTACAAGTTATAGCTTACCTTTACTGATGACTCTTGTTGGCATATGGACGACGGTGAGGAGGAAAGGGGGGGGGGGGCAGAGGAGAAGTGTTACTCTTTTGGAAGGGGAGTCCCCCTTCCATTATAACATCAGGCAATGATGACTTCTCTCGGGTACTCTCCTACATTTTGCCTGCATACCACTAGGACCTGGTTGTGGCTCACTACTTGTTTTTCCTCACTAAGAACCTTTTCAAAGAAACTTGTTTTTCCCTCGTTGTAACACTTGTCTGTAGTGAGGCATCGCAGTGTCATTAAAAAGGTTAAGACAACGGCCTACTGCAGCTTGATTTGGGCGAGTCGTTTCAACAATACTTTGCATTTCTTCCCATACTACACGCCACTTCTTAAGCATTGAGGAAGGGACATTCTGTACTGCTTCCTCCTCCCCTGAAGAAATTTCCTCAGCTTTGTCGTGTTGCTGCTCCTTGTGAAGGGCTAGGAGTTCTTCGGTGGTAAGTTCTTCGCTGTGTTCCTCCACCAACTTACAACTCTAACAACACTATGCCACTTCTTTTTCTAAATTTTACAAACCATCCCCTGGTGGCCTTGAGCAATGTTTTATTAATTGATGAGTGGGTTGTGCTCCTGACCAAGCACAGGCTACAACAAACCAAATAGCAATCCCTACATTTTATATTTATATAGAGTATAGTTGGAAAGTATATTGTATAATAGGAAAGGAAGGTATATTACAGTATATTGGAAAACATGTATAGCTCAGTACTGTACTCTACTGCTCTATAAAAAAATGCAGTTATTTCCAAAGATTCATTAAATTGTGAGTCATTATTTTGAATTAATATTGTATACATTTCCAATTACAAGTAATATTTTGCATTTGAAAATGCCATATGGAAGTTTATTGCATTTTTAATGGATATATTTTTCAACCTTGCCTTTTAATACTGTACTTTCATTTAATGTTTAATTATATTTATTTTACTTATTACATTCCTTTATATACGATGGGCAAAGTATGTAGTGACCTTGATAAAGACAGGAAGCCTGCTACTTGTGCGGGTCGTCCATGTTGTCTGGTGAGTTACTCCTCTCACTGATGCTGCTTCAATGGCTTGACTAGATGAACTTTCCATAGTTATTCATTTTGAAGAGAAATGGTAGTCTTAGAATCATTTTGGTTATCGTGAGTTGTGCTTGTTTTTTTTCTTTAGTGATGTACTGCAAATCCTTTAACATAACATTGTTTATTACAGCATATTTTAATTTAGTTTTCAGATGAACATTCACAAATTTCAAGGGATCAGCTAGAATCCATAAACTCTGAGGTGTCAGCTTCTGACAAGGACCAACAGCAGAGCCCTCTACAGCAGCAGCAACAGCAGCAGCAGCAGCAACATGGAATTACAAAGATTGCTGAGGCTGCCAACCTGGGCATGAGGAGACTGCGACGAAACTGGTCGTTAACTAAAAATGAAGTGAGAACAGGCTTGAGTCGAATAAAGAAAAAGAGCACCTTTAGTGTTTCGGATATGAAAAGCACAGAAAGTAAGTAGTGTACTGTTCAATGTGATAGATGAAAAGAATTATTAATAATATTATGAAATAATGTATTTTGTAATATTTGTTTTATAAATTATGTGCATTTTCATTTATAAGGTATATGGAAAAAGATTATGAAATCTATTGCTATTTAATAATCAGTGATAGATAACTGAAGTCTTCCAGAAAAATTATTTTAGCCTTGGGGGGGGGGGGGGGGAAGGACAAAATTTCTTTTCAACTGAATCGAAAGCTACCAACAAACTGGTAATCAGTCAGGGGAAGCAATAGACACAGCAGAAAAATTAAATAACAGGTTTTGAGGGTCAAGGAGAAGGTAAATTGTGTGTAATCTTCGAATATACCTTTGGGAATGCCCATCACTTAGACGACCGTAGCCTGGGAAGGTGTTAGCATTTTACCATATGGAGTTTTTCCAGGATGCATTGTTCAATTCTGATAGCCATATATCTTTCTCTTCTATGCCTCTTAAGTGCAGAGTTGCTCCACCTGGTGTCTGACTCGTCAGGGGTGGCCTGTGATTCTGCTTGAGCCTCCTTTCTATTCAGCAATTATGTCAGCTATTTGTGGTCGCCTTTCTTTGTACGTTATGTATATAGTGTTACATTTACGTTCATAATACAGTACTGTACTGTACAGTATTATTTTTATATTATAGGCATTATTTACACAGTATTTTGCCCATATTGAATTTTTTTTTTCACGCCATCTCTTCTGGCTTACAAGGGAATGGTTCACCTACATGTATTGGCTTTTCTTGCTGATTTGGCTTCCTCCCCTGGTCATGTCCTCTCCATTCCTTCAATTACACAGCTGCCAGTGAGGTGGGCACCGGAGGCTGGCATTCTGGGCACTGCTCCATATGAGGCATAGGTTGGAGATGTTCTTCCTTACTAAGTCTTTGGTCGTACAGTAGCATAATTGCCTTATACCACTTCTTCCTTTAGTACTGTAATACTAAAAAAAAAACTACTAAAGTAGACTTCACTGTTCAAGAAGTATAAGTCAGAAGCAGGGTAACTATCATTCAAGTTAAATACTGTATATTAAATTTGTTATTCACTTTTAAAAAATAAAATAAAATTTTTGGTGGTTAGAAACATATCCCTTTGTATAGTGTTATGACCTGTGGAAAATCTGGTTTCAACTTACGGCACCTTTATGGAATGCATTATATTCATATTGTTTGATACAGTAGAGGGAAAGGAAAGAGCAATAGTGCTAGTAAGAGTGAGGGTGCAAGCATTAGCAAATCTGATTGGAAGACATTAAAGTCTGCAAAATATGCCCAGTTCGATGATGCTATTTAAAAATGGTCTTCACTGAATACATGAACAGTGTGGTAGAGTGAAACAAAGAGCTGAAGCATGTAAAAGATAGGCATGCAGACAGTTCGGAGATAACCAACTTTAGAACTAGTGATGACTGGATTTCAAGATTTAAACTTGGCCATAACATTACCAAGAGGAACATAACGGGGAAGATTCAGTTCTGGGAGCCACTAAATGGCTCCCAGAACTGAAGGACAAGAGCTACGAGGAGAGGTTAGAGGCATTAAATATGCCAAATCTGGAAGATAAAAGAAAGAGGCAATATGATCACTACGTACAAAATAGTAACAGGAATTGATAAAATAGATAAGGAAGAATAGGGAACAAGAGGACACAGACTCGAGCTAAGGAAACAAAGGTGCTGCAAAAACATTAGAATTTTTTTTATTGCAAACAGAGTGGTAGACTGTTGGAACAAGCTAAGTAAGGTGGTGGTGGAGGCTTAAACTGTCAGTACTTTTAAAGAGTTATATAATTACCTAAGTGTAGTTACAGGATGAGAGCTACGCTCGTGGTGTCCCGTCTTCCCAGCACTCTTTGTCATATAACGCTTTGAAAACTACTGACGGTCTAGGCCTCCACCACTTTCTCACCTAACTTGTTCCAACCGTTTACCACTCTGTTTGCGAAAGTTAATTTTCTTATATTTCTTCGGCATCTGTGTTTAGCTAGTTTAAATCTATGACCTCTTGTTCTTAAAGTTCCAGGTCTCAGGAAATCTTCCCTATCAATTTTATCAATTTCTGTTACTATTTTGTATGTAGTGATCATATCACCTCTTTTTCTTGTGTCTTCTAGTTTTGGCATATTTAATGCCTCTAACCTCTCCTCGTAGCTCTTGCCCTTCAGTTCTGGGAGCCACTTAGTAGCATGTCTTTGCACCTTTTCCAGTTTGTTGATGTGCTTCTTAAGATATGGGCACCACACAACTGCTGCATATTCTAGCTTCGGCCTAACAAAAGTCGTGAACAATTTCTTTAGTACTGTATATCACCATCCATGTATTTAAAAACAATTCTGAAGTTAAAAAGCGTGGCATAGGCTCCTCGCACAATATTCTTTATGTGGTCCTCGGGTGATAGTTTTCTATCTAGAACCACCCCTAGATCTCTTTCTTTATCAGAATTCTTTAAAGATTTCTCACATAATATATAGGTTGTGTGGGGTCTATGTTCTCCTATTCCACATTCCATAACATGGCATTTATTAACATTAAATTCCATTTGCCAAATGGTGCTCCATAGACTTATTTTGTCCAGGTCATCTTGAAGGGCATGACAATCATCTAAGTTTCTTATCCTTCCTATTATCTTAGCATCATCAGCAAACATGTTCATATAATTCTGTATACCAACTGGTAGATCATTTTTGTAGACAATAAACATCACTGGTGCAAGAACTGAACTCTGTGGTACTCCACTTGACATTTTTCCAGTCCGATACATTGCCTCTGATCATTGCCCTCATTTTTCTATCAGTCAGAAAATTTTTCATCCATGTTAGCTTACCTGTCACCCCTCCAATATTTTCCAGTTTCCAGAACAACCTCTTATGTGGAACTCTGTCGAAAGCCTTTTTTAGGTCCAGATAGATGCAGTCTATCTGAGGCATTAAATGGTAAATGGTCTTTCGGGTGTACTATACAGCACTTGTTAAAAACATTCACCAGTTTTACTTGAGCTAATACTACAGAAATTATAAAAATAATATTCTAGATTTAGTTTTGTAAATTGTCATAAAATTCTTTATTTATTTCAGACCTTGCATGTGATGCCAGCCCATCTAGTGCTAGTGCAGAAAATAAAAGAAAATGGTCTTTTAAAAGTCATTTCCGAAGGAAATCTTCATCAGGCTCTGTCACAACTGTAGTTAGTAGTGGTGGGCCACCTTCAAAGAAAGAATCTGCTACATTCTACCTGACACTAACTATTGAAACGGGAAGTCAGGATGCTGGGGACATGTCAGATGCTTCTCAGCGAACAGGTCGCTCTGACTCTGAAAGTGTTCTATCAGCGGCCAGTGCTCACGAATACCGAAAGTCTAATACACCATCAGTAGCCTCGGTGACAACGGTGGGCTCTTCTGAAAGTGTGCCACTAAGACGACCTACCCATATTACTTACAACAGGAAGAGTTCTGCTGGCTCATCCAGCTATGGACCAGTAAGACCACGAACTGCACCACCTGCTCCACCACCAAAAGGTTTTATCCTAATTTTTCTCTTCTTTAAGTATATAAGTTTATACAATATAGTATTGTATTTAATTTTGCTTTAAATAAAATACTTGCTATGTTTTTATGTTCCTAGCATGTCACAAGGAGTTTATAAAATAAATCTTTTGTATTTGTTACAGAAAAGAGCAGTGAAGTAATATCTGAAAGAAATGAAGGTGATGAACTCAGCAAGTTAGACGTTGCATCACGGCTTAACCAACTGTTGTCTTGCGGACCTGTTGCCCCTCCTGGCCGTCGAGTGCTTCGTACTTCAGAGTGTTCAAGCAGTGACACATCACCTGTTCCTGTTCTGATTCACCCAGAAGAGAGTGGACACGTTGGTTTACGGCCAAATGGTGTCAAATATGCTACTATTGACATGAGTAATTTTGGAGTCAATTCCAATATGTGTGGGGATTCAAGTGGAGACGAGAAATCACTGGGTGCAGAAATAGCTAATTTTATAAAGCTCAACATTCCTCAGGCTCGAATGTCTGTTGCAAGTTCAGCATCTCTTGGCTCTAGTGAAGGTTATATTCGTCCTGGAGATATCGCATCGGCACCACCACCATTGCCAGCAAGACGTACCCCATCCACTTCTGCACAAAACTTTAGGTCTTCATCCTGTACTAAATTGCCACCCATGCTTCTTAACATGCCATCTAGTCTCATGGATGGAGATAATAATAGTTACCTTGACCTGAGCTGTACTGCTCTAATACAGGATGAACCACTGTATGTTAGTTCTCACTTTGCAGATGAGCCACTATATCAGTTCTACACTGCCACAGTGTTGGAACGTGCTGCCCACAACCAGGGCGACTGTTCATCAGAAGATGACTATGAGGTAATGTATATAGAATATATTTATTAGTGACTATAAATCTTTCAATTGTATAATTGAATACAATTAATTCATATTAATTCAATTAATATAAATTCAATCTTTCAATGTATATATAATCTTTCAATTATACACTTTTTTCCTCCATTATCTTCCCTGTGCACACTGAGCTATTGGGGGCTATGCTTCTCAATAACCCACATGCAGCCCATCCTCCTCTTTAGTTGGTACTTAGAGTAACAGTGAGGACCATAGTACGGTACTGTACTGTACATGTATGACGTAATGGACAGTTAGAAAGTAGAAATCGTTACAACTGAATTTGGACAAAATGGAAAAGTGTTTGTATTTATATTTTAAAGACAATCAAAACTAACCTAACCTTCCTAGGCCTAATATAGTATGTATATGCTATACTAGGCCTAGGAATAATCAAGTTTGTTTTTTAGCTTAATTTTTTTCAGACTATAAAGTGAAGAGTACCAAATTCTACTATCTAATTGCCTTTTAAGTTAATGTTTGAATGTTGGTGCAAATAGTTACAAAAAGTACTATCTAAAGAAGAGGCTGGGTTGCCACATGCAATAGAATCGTGTCTGGTTTTGTCCAGTAGAGCATGGTGTTGATTTATCTTTGTTATATGATTTGCAAGAAAGGTAATTGATTTAGTTTGCATTAAAGCATGTTTAATGAAGATGATAGAGCAATATTGTCATCTTTCAATATAACACTATCTGCTAGTAACACTGTTCCTGTGGGTTTGGGTTTTAACAGAAGAGCTTGAAGGAGTTTGATAAAATATGAAAGAGGAAAAAGCTGAAGCTCGATAAGACTCGGTGATTTTAGGAGGCCATAGAGTGCAAGATGTGGATGAATAGAGAGAGGAGTGAACTATAACATTTTAAGAATCTTTAGAACTATCTAGCCAGAATGGAGGAAATAACAATGAAGCTGAAATTTGAAAAACGATGTAGGGTATAAGCAGTATTGATTATTTTGCAAGGGTTATTTCACACTAGGGTGTGAAGAGAGAGAGTATCAAGAAATGATGAATGAAATTTATTAATAAGTGAAATTATTATAAATTTATAGAAATTTATTAATATACTATACTTTGATAGTTTGATCATGTAGAGGTTGAAGAGTGTACCACAGAAGCACAGGATGGCTAATAACATGGAATATAAAGTGTTGTAGGGATAGGAAGGCTTCATAGCATTTGCTATCTTTGCTTTTTAGTGGGAAATGGTATTATGGATATACAGTACTTGGTACAATAGCTGAATAAGTACAGTAATAATATATTAGATTTTTTATGTTTATTAATATATGATGGTTTTGGTATCAGGTGATCAACGATGGACACAATTCACAGGCTAGAAGGTTACAATCACGACCCTCTGCCATGGAGCTTGTCACTCCCGCTGATGGTCGACGGACGTTATGGTGTGAATTGCCTGAAGTCATAGACAGTGGATTACTAAGTATGTATTCAATGTAAAAGTTTCTACTTATGGTATAGCTTCTGACTTTCATGAAGTTGCATACAGACAACCCTTGTGAAATTGATAACCTGAATCTCATTTGTTATTTTGCAGATAAAATTACTCCTTTGGGAGCCAATTATAGTATTTTACCCCAAGACTGGTAACTCTAAAGACTCTTAAAGGCAGTCATTGTATATTTTAGTAAAATTACGTGTTCACTTATACAGTACCCCAAGACAGTTACAATATATCGGTACACTTCAGGTCTGAGACAAGTCTAAAATCATGTGGTGTCTCGCAGAACAAGTCGGCTCTCACTAAAAAAATAACGATGAATAATTATGATGTTCACCAAGTTGCAAAATGTTGCTCCACTTATGGACTTGAAAGTTTTGTATGGTTGTTGATGGTGAATTACTGTACCCAGTTTTTGTCTGGGATTTTGGTATACTAATCTTGCACAGTGGAATTACTTGAGGTAGAAACAATCATTATAATAATCCAGCAGCCATGGGAGAAACATAAACACTGCCTGAAACTTCAGGGACACCATGGCAGCAGCCCACAGCTGCTACAAAATGGGCACAGACGTACAGCTACCATAACAAGGGCAGATGCCAACAGCTGCCTTAGACACCCAGCATGTGCCAAAGAAAGCAACTGCTCTCAGGATCAAGAAACAGCTAATACTATGACTAAGCAAAAAAGCATGACACTATCAAGGATGGAGAATCCCTAAACAAACAGGAACAGGAGAAGCAGGAATGCCCCATGGGATCAGAAAATATTGAAACACAAAGAAGAAACTTATAAGTAGCAAAGTTTGGCTTCAAATCGCTACCCAATTAAGAGAGAAAATGAGGAATGTATAGGAAATGGCTGACCAGACTGTTATATAATGGGTACCATACTAGATGGAAGGGAAGCATTGTCGACTAACCTGACAACTAACTGACAGTTAAATGACAATGAAATGTGTACAAAGCTATGGAGTTAAATGACAATGAAATGTATATAAAGCTGTGGATAAGTCTCGATGGGGCCTGGTAAAACCTAAAGGATTACTGGCACCAGCATTTCATTACAATCGGCTCTTGACTATTTAGCTTTTGAAATTTGCTTCAGTTATCAACAGGTGGTATCACATACTGGATCCAAACTCCTGATTTGAAGGCCAGATGTCTGGTTGAACATTTCATTGGTAAACTAATTTATTAATTATTATTAAATTCATGTAGAAATCACATTATTGTGATATATCAAAGAGAAAATCTTCAGGAGCTGTAATGAGGATTCGAACTTATGCGCTGGATGTTCCCAGATGCACGCTATAAAGGACCACGCTACAACATAGTAAAATAATTGCAACCTGGGGTACTACTGCACCCGAAAAGCTTCCACAGAAGCCGAGCCAGGGTTTTACACAATTCCCCCGTGCCAGAGTGCACGGGGGAATTCTTTTACCATGTCATGGCGTAGTCGTTTAGATTGTGCGTCTGGGAACATCGGCGCATAGGTTCGAATCCTCATCACGGCTCCGGTGAATTTTCTCACTGATTAAATTATTAATTAAATTATTTTAGGCAACTGTAATAATTAAGATTTTTTTAGGAACTAATAATTTCTTTGGTCGGATGCTACTGGCTATAACGGCAAAAAGGTTTAACGACTATGGGATTTAATTAATAACTAAATACTTATTGATGATTTACCACTAAATTTATGCTTTAAATCTGCATATTCTTCTTTCTAGCTTTAAATGGAAACTGTTTTGTCTTTGTGGCATTAGGTACTCTGCTAATGTTTAGTTCATTTATTGTAGATCAAATCAGCAGTCAAGAGTGGAAGATCCAAGAAGCAATGTTTGAAATGATAACATCAGAAGCATCATATCTCAAGTCCCTGAATGTCCTCGTAACTCATTTTGTTCAGTGTCCTGAATTTACCATAGATGAGGGCGAGGATGCTGTCCTAAGTAGGAGAGAGAGACACATACTTTTCTCAGATATTTTACCAGGTAAGATTTTATATATTGTTGAAACTTGCCTAAATAATGATTACAGTGAAACTCTTGCTCTTCAACTTTATCATTGTAAAGGATAACAACACAAATAACTAATTTTCTTTAATTCTCATTAAGAAAAGAATTTCACACTTGATAGTATATGTTTATTTAGTAGATGGATATTTGAAGCCTCTGAGTTATTTAGTCAGTTATTCTTTTGAGGAGGAAATACACAAAACACACGAGATTTAATAAGTAAGATTGTTAGCAATTGGTGGTAGAGAACTGCCACTTGTACCTCCTTGCTACCACCACCATCATGGACAAATGGCTAAATTTTCTCAATTGTTGTTTCTATTCACTGGCTATCAACTGCTTACTGAGCTACATTTGCTGTCTTTAAATTATTTTACTATGGTTGCCACTATGGAATGATGAACCCCCCTTTCTAGTATCATCTTTTGGTACCTTTGACAGTCGTCAAACACTAGAGGTAGTTCTCGTGTCTGATTTCTGGAATAGATGGCTTCATGTCAACACACAACCCCAACATTAGACAGTGTGTGACATACAGAGGTTGAATGCCAGGTAACCTAATGTCGGGATTGTATATTGACATGAACCTCCTAATTCCAGAGGTGGTTAAATTCTACTATTGTACAAGACACTCGTACAACAAAGGGTTCCAGTAGTACAGTTGGGTTCATTCTCAATTCACTATCAAGAATTCTGGGTTCGAATCCTGGGTGGGGGACAGAAATGGTTGGGTGCGTTAACTATCACCTAATGCTCCTGTTCATCTAGCAGTAAATAGGTACCCAGGAGTTAGTCAGTTTGTTGTGGGCTTTCATCCTGGGCAAAGTCAGTAATTCGACCCTGGGTTGGGGGTGGGTGGACATCAGTATAAGTCTAACATGTACTGTATGTATAAACTGGCTGACTGTTTCCCGACACAATGAATTATTTCAATTCTCCACAATGAGAAACTAGCTTAGGAGTTTCAAGACAGTTTGGGAAGAGTGAATGGTGGGGGGTTAAACACTCCACGTAACCCTCACTCCATGTTCCCAAGACCTGAGTAGCAGTTGTGTAGTGGTGTTCCAGGTAGTTAAGAGCACATCTTGTCATATTCAATGGTTGATTTTTAACATAACTGATTGTTTAGTGATTCATTTTTCTTGTATTTTCATTATTTAGAAATGTGTTGTTTGAATTTATATAATAAATTACCAACTCTTTCCCCCCCCCCCCCTGCATAAAAGTTAGAAATGGGTAGTGGTGATGTAAGTTTAGTATATATACTGTATTAACAATAACTTATGCTATATACATTATACTGTATTAACAACTAATTGAAGCATTTTTTTTTAATTCTGAAACCTTTGGTGTGAATCTTTTAATAAAAAATATTAAGCTTCTTGATAAAAATGAATTAATTTGATTATTATTTGTTTTTCAGTGAAGAGATGCTCAGAATTGTTTTTGGCAGACCTAGAAAAGAGGTGGCAAGTATCGGTACAGATATCGACAATTGCTGATATTATTTGCAAGCATGCTGATAAGTATTTCCAGGTTTATGTCAAATACTGTTCCAACCAGATCTACCAAGACAGGACACTAAAGGAGCTAAAGTGAGTTTAATTTTCATTGTGCCACATTATTTTTTAACAAACGGGTACAGGATCATATACCTGAATTTACCTGAGGACTAATATCTCTAGTGGCTTCAACAGGGACAGGAAGCTGGTGGCAAGTTTCCAGCTGAATTTTAAACTTGGCATGTGCAGCCTTGGCTTCATATGAAACTGTTAAAGAAGTACTGTAGTCTAGATTAATATCTTCCATTTTAAGTATCTTATGTGAGAGGTTTTGACAAGATCAGCCCTGTCGTCTCTGGTTTGTGGTGTTGCTAGTCTTAAGTCCCCTCAATCTGTCCTAATACTAGTTGACTTTTGACTTAGTTTGAAAATAAGTTTGTCATTTCAAAGTAGTTATGGCACTTTGAAAGTGAGGTTTCATTAGGAGATTGTAAGGAAAATGAGTAGGAATTAAAAAAAGAGTAAACACTGAAGAGTTTGGGAGAATGTTAAGTGAAGATTTTGTAAGATGTTTTTTTACAGAAACACAAGAGAATACAGTAGTGTCATTTAGTTTACTTATTATATCTAACCTTTGGCAAAAAGTAATTTCCAATTGGCGTATTCACCAACATAAGTCTTTTAATCTATAAGATCTGCCTACCCCATTGGATATGTTTCAAAGTAGAGAATTAGGCATCTCAACAAGTTAATGACCAGGTTGGGATGTGTAACAAATCTGTGCCATGAAGTGGAGTGATTGGTGTTTGGCCTGACTGTTTGGTCTGGTCCTTGTTACAACTGGGCCTTTACTAAGGAAGTAACAGTGTGATCTGTTCAATAATGCATTTATTAATAACAGTCAGCATGATCAGCATTAATAACAGATCTGTTCAATAATGCATTTATTAATAACAGTCAGCATTAATAACAGATCTGTTCAATAATACATTTATAATAAGTGTGATCTGTTCAATAATGCATTTGGTACCTTTGACAGTCGTGTTCTATGACAGACGTGTTCTATGCACTTAATTTCTTTATTTTGTTGTTATACTTCCCTTGATTTGTGGTTTCCTCCTCTTCCCCACCTTACCTTATCTCTTTATATATGTTCTATGTTACTAAGCATGCTATTTTTTTTCAGATATTGATAGTTTATTATAAATATGATAGGAAATTGTTCATGCAGAATACTTGAGTATTGTATGTAAAGCCTTGCTATTATCAGCACTTGCCAGAGAAGCACTCACTGTATGTGGCAGAGTGAACGGAGCTTAATTTTCTCATACTTTTTTAACCAAAAAATATTATTTTCTGTTGATTTTGTAGCTTTAAGATTGATTAATTGAAGCCAGTTTGAAATACTGTATTTTGTATGTAAATTATATATTTGGCTAATCAAATAATTTATTTCAGAGAAAATAATCCTCGATTCTTGGAAGTGCTCAACCGTCTTGAGTCTTCGCCAGTATGTCAGTCACTTGCTATGCATTCTTTCCTTATGCTCCCTATGCAAAGAATCACAAGACTTCCTCTGCTGGTCGATGCTATTTTTCACCGCCTGGAGTACGGCACACACATGTGGAATGAGTACAAAGTGGCTCTTGCTACTCTTACAAAGGTATGAAAATTAGTCATTGCACATTGATATACTGTAAGAAGTTGGTAATCCAAAATCCAGTAACCCAAGTAGATTTGCATTTGAGTTTTTGACTGCTCGACTCAAATACAAATTCTGGCTACCAAGATTTCTGGTAACCCAAATGGGGTAAAAAATTTGGCTAACCCAAATGGGGTGGATCCTATGTAATTCAAACTACTGTTGGTTAGCAGTAAGAGTGGCAAAGTAGCCTCACCTTTTTCCCATGGGAAATATTTTAATTGCATCTACAATTAACTGTTAAAGATGCTTAAGATATTTATTCACTTTCTTTCAGAATGCAGAACCTCTTTAGAGTTTACAATTATTTGGCTGTTCATTACATCATAGAGGAAAAAATGTATAAATTAACTCAATCCTGGAATACTTGCCATTAATTTGGTACTCTTATCCATGGATATATATATGAAGCTGTTAGACAAAATTGAAGATAGAGCCATACATCTAGTGAACTAAATCTAATCCACCCAACCTAATAGCGTCATATACTCGAACTCTCCATCACAGCAGATATGTGACTGGTCTTTGTATTTAGCAAAGCTCCCAAAATACATGGCCCCCCTCTTCAGCCTTTCTACAGCTGTATCCATCAAGAATTAAGTACAGCACCAAACAAGAGGTGCCATTTGTGACATCAGATAAATGATTCCCTTCCATACAGAGAGAGCAGTCTTAATGCCCATGTGCTATTATTATTACTCAGTATACACAAAATTATGGGGACACATTTTCCAAGATATTTACATTCTGACACTTTAACAATTCTTAAAATTGTTATGAATGCCTAATAGCAGACGATAGTATGCATTAAAAGTACAGAATTTTTGCATTGCTACAGATTATTGTTCAGGAACAAATGCAGTTCTAGATTGAAAACTCCAAAGAAGACTTTTAACAGATGACATGTAAACCAAAACAGTCTTCAATTTTAATAATGAAAATAATGAAGGTGAAGAAAATACCCAATACACATCTAAGTGTATTGAAGTGTATTATTAAGCCAAATTTTTGGATGAAACCTACATCCTTTATCAAGGTGGTGTAAACAGTGTTCTGAACAAAGATTCTAAGTGCATGCATCTATATATCTGGCAGAACGCCTCAAATGCCATCCATCAGTAGACGTTATGTTCGTTCCCCAGGAATTCCCCAGGGGATGCCGGAACATCTGATGAATGATCAAATGTCCTGGTTTCTGGGAGCTGTGGGCAGGGTATTGTAGGAACATTATCCCCAACACTGTGAACACTACAAGGTCTGTGCTTATATGAATAAATTAAATTAGTTAATAAAATATTTATTCAGTATTATTAGAATTATTTTTATTAATTATAATTAACTTTTTAGTTTGACTTAGAAACATTACAACATATGGGTACTTGCTTAATTTTTTTTTTAATTTGTGAACATTATTCTGGGTGTGCTAAATTTCACAAATACTCACAATATTTGTTGGTCTAAACAGATTGTAGCAGAATGTAATGAAGGAGCTCGCAAGATGGAGCGCATGGAAGAAATGCTCATTCTTTCTCGTCAACTTGATTTTCGGGAGGTAAAGGCAATCCCACTCATCTCTGCCTCCCGTTGGCTCGTCAAGAAGGGTGAGCTAACAAGGCTGACTTGGAGAGAAACTGATGCTAAACTCACCTTTGGCAAGAGAATATCAAAATGTACACTCTACTTCTTCCTGTTTACTGACCTCCTTGTTGTTACTAAGAAAAAAAGGTTAGTGTAATGTATGTCATGTTTTGTGTATTATATTTAAAGTAATTTTAACTGAAAATATTTAGCATGGTCTTTTATTAGTTTTAGATTAATTACAGTACCTTATAACACTGTATTACTGAATATCATCTCTGGATAGTTGCTAAAATTACTTGGTAATTCTGACACAGGCATACTTCATTCATAATGGTAGATGCATTCCTGGAAATGTAAATGCTAGCTGAATTGATGCTATATTGGGTCATTTTAAATGTTTTCCAGACATGATAGTCTATGAACTAAGGCTGTGGTGATACAAACAAATTACATAATTCTTTCCCTCATAGCTCATCCCACTTGGCATTCATTACAAATTATTCATGTTAATTATTCATCTTGGCGTTCATTCCCCCTCCCCTTTTCGTTCACCCCCCCCCTTTGGCATTCATCCCCCCTTGCATTCATAAGACATAGGAGAGAATGGCTGATGAGCTGAAGCAGGCTCCCAACAGGGCAACAGTCGCTTTATGGCTATCAATCTGTATTATTGTCTCTACGTCTGTCTTTATCATTCTCTTTGTACTTGTGTATTCTTGCACGGAAAAAGTTTTAGCTCCTTAGCTCCACCTTTTAGTTGCTGGTCATTTATTACAGATAGTTTCTACCCTCCTGCTGCTTATAATACATGTGTAGATCTTTCCACTTTCTCACAAATGTTACATAGAAGTGCCATCTAATATCAGTATGGGTTATTTGAGTTTCTAATTTTCACCCATGTCCTCTAGTTCATGATTAAAAGTTTCTTTCTATGTTTGTGTCAACATGTCTCATATTTTCATTAAAAACAAGAAACGGACACTTTAACATATGGTCCCCGTTGCCATCTGACAGGTGGAGGCAGGGAATTTAGCGTGAACAAATACCATATTATGGGATGTGGAATAGGAGAAAATAGGCCACTCACAACCTACATTTTTTTGTGCAGAAGCTTCAAAGAAATCTGATAAAAATATCTAGGGGTGGTTCTTGATTAAAAAAAAAACTGTTACCTGAGGATCACATAAGTAACATTGTGCAAGGAGTATGTGCTACACTTTTCAACTTTCAAATTGCTTTTAAATATGTTTGTCCGAAATGCTATGCGTGTTAATGGCTTTACAAGAATGTTAATTCAACTTTTCTATATTCTGTTAACCCCCAATGTAATTTCTTGTATATAAATAAATAAATAAATAAATAAATAAATAAATAAATGTACACGAATGGTGAAATATGAAAGAAATTATTTATGACCTATATGAGACCAAAGTTGGAATATGCAGCAGTTGTATGGTGTCCATATTAGAGTGCCAGACCAACCGGGCTGTGGTGGATATGTGGGTCTGCGGGCCACTCCAAGCAACAGCCTGTTGGACCAAGCTCTCACAAGTCAAGCCTGGCCTCGGGCCGGGCTTGGGGAGTAGAAGAACTCTCAGAACCCCATCCAGGAACAATCCAGGTACAAGCACATGACTAAACTAGAAAAAGTGCAAAGACAACTCGATGATTTCCAGAGCTAAAAAATAAAAGCTACAAAGAGACGTTAAATGTATCAAAGCTAGAAGATAGAAGAATAGAGATGATATGATTACTAACAAAATAGTAACAGGAATCAATAAAATTGAAAATTTTTTAAAACTGCAACTTCAAGAACAAGAGGACATGGATTCAAATTAATGACTTAATTTAAGATTTGTTGTACTGCCTAGCTAGATCAACAACCCACATACAATCTTCATGTTTACGATTGGTCTCTTGTTTTTTTACCTGTCGTCATCCTCACAACTATTTTCTTAGGTTGAACTTTACCACTTACTTTCTTGGGACCCATGGCATGATATATAATAAGAACTTTTATGTTCAGAAACCAAAAAAGCAGAAAAACAATGAAATTCTTCACAAAGAATTAAAGCGCAGTCGTCACTAGGCAGAATACACTGGTAAACTGAGCATGCCTCACCCCGCGTCCAGCAGAACCCACACACTCGACCCATACGTGTATTGGCAAACACTCGTATTCAGAGGCAAACTTCATACACCGAGTAAAATTTTACGAGGAAATTGACTTCGTGTACCGAAACATTCGTAATCCGGGGCATTCGTAAATTTAGATTCCACTGTAAGTGCTTGGAGTGTCAAATAGCAAATGGAATTCAGTGTGAATAAAAACCATGTTATGGAATGTGGAATCAGAGAAAATAGACTACACACACAACTTACAAATTATGTAGTAAGTCGTCGTGAGAGGAACACACGAAGAACATTGAGAGAGGAGTGTATGCATCGCTTTCCAACTTCATCCTGTAACTACACTTAGGTAATACAAAAATTACACAAAGGGAGGCATGCACAGTATATCACTAAGAACTAAAGCTTAGGGCAAAACAAGAAACTGCCTAAGTGGCAGGTATGATGAGTTTGATGACATCATACATGGAAAAATACTTCAAAGTGGAAGCTCCTCGCAAGGGCCCCGGAACGGGACGGTTATCTTGTATGCACATGTGGGGGAGGGTCCCTCAGGCTGCCGCCATACCCACTCGTGGGCTCCGGCCAGGTCATCCACCCTCCTGTGAGAAACCATTTGGGGAAGTGGTATCCCTTGATGCCGACCCTATGTAGATAGTTACCTACCAGTTATCCTGGCTGAGTGTCTCCCCATCGTGACTATATTTCACCTTGTGCACCCATTGCACTGTGATCCTGGGACTAAGGTGGTTTGCTCCTTGATGTGAACTTGGACCATATTCTGTAGAGGGAATTTGTCCAGGTTAGGGCTTTCACAGAGCATATCTCAAGGTTGCTCTTGGTGAGGACCATATCCCGAAGCCCACGTGCACTCTCCCTGCACCATCCCCCCTCTCCAGTTTAGGGGAGATAGATAGTTCATGCTTGATGGTGGGTGGGTAGGTGGACGCTATGTGCTAACCGGTATGTTCTCTGACCCACTAAAGGATCTCTGGAGTTAAATGAGAAGGTGGTGCAGGCCAAAACCATCAGTAGTTTCAAAGTGTTATATGAGAGAATACCAGGAAGACGGGACACCACGAGCATTGCTCTCATCCTGAAAGTACACTTGTTAATTACAGGTACATTTATGTAATTACACACCCACCCTAATTATTCACTACACTGGACAGGTATATCTGCTCAGCTTTATACAAATATTAAAGTATGAATAGACAATAAATACAGGTATTTACAATGTATTGCAACTAATTATTACTTTTAAAGATTATGAATTACAGTAGTACCATTCATACTATCCAAAATGTTTATTTTGTATCTTTAGTGAAGACCAATATATGGTTTTGGACTACTGTTCGAGGAACATGGTACAAGTCCTGGAGCTTGATGCTGCCGACAAGTTTCCCGGTCGTATCCTCGATGGCCATAAAAATCTTCTCATCATGACGATGCTGCAGAACCATGAGAATAAAACAGTTGAAATGGTATGTTAACTTCACCTGTACAGTATTTGTAATATCCAAGTTAATGTGTCACCTGGTCCTTATGCAAAATGTGGCAATTTTAGAGAACTTAAAACGAGGTACCACTAGGAGCTGGCAGCTAATGCATCATTGTGTTTGATTGCATACAAAATTTAAAATTGGTGTCCAACCAAGAAATAAGTTGAAGATATGAGAACTTAACCACACACCAGAAGATGAGGAGACGCCGACGTTTCAGTCCGTCATGGACCATTATCAAGTAAATTGTCTTGACTTGATAATCAACTTGATACTGGTCCAGGACTAACCGAAACGTTTTTCGCATCATCTTCTGGCGTGTAGTTTAGTTCTCATATCTTCAAGCCACGTTATTGTAACTCATCATCTGCAAGTTGAAGAATGCAAAGAAATATAGATGAAGGAACAACAATAGGATTAAGCCTATCTACATAAATAATAGTAATAATGAGCAAATCCGTAGGAGCTGTGGTGAGGGTTCGAACCTAAGCTCTGGTTATTCCCATGCACACACTCTAGACAACTATGCAACAACATAGTATATTTAACATTATTAACAACATGTATGTGTCTTGCTCAGAAATCGACTTTTCATTGTTGCTTAAAGTCCAGTTTTATTGTGAATTTAAGTAATGGCAGATAGTTGACTTTACATTTCTGGACCTTGCAGCTTGGGTGCCTCTGCTTTTGAAGAAGACATTATTCCCAACACATGTGTGACTAAGTTTCACTATACAATATGTAAATCATACCTATTTTATAGAGAAATGAAGTAAAAGATTTTATCAGATTTAGCCTTTGTATGCATTCCAAAGAAAGCCAGAAAAGATAAGTTTTTCATTTATTTCCCTGTTCTAAAATTCTTTAATTTTGAGAATAAAAATGTTTGTTTAAATTTAAACTGATTGTGTTTTACATATTTCAACTACTGTTGTATTTCTTAATCATACTTCACTTTTTATTTATTCTTTAGTTTATTTTTTGTTTTAGGTTGTTTCATGCCCCATGGAGTCAGACAGAACACGATGGGTTGAAGCAGTAACTCCTCGAAGTTCTGATAACCCTGATGAGCGCATTTATGAGGAATGGGATTGTCCACAGGTATGTAATGGCAGATTATTGGGCAATAGCCCTAAGTTCGGGATACAAAACTCTACCACTTGGGCACTATAAAGTTTTCAGTAGTTTCAAACAATTTTAAATGAGCTACAGGATCCAAGAAAATATAAATGTAGATTAAAATATATTCAAACTCAAATAACTTGGTTTTGTAGTAATGAGTTGCTACCTCTTACTTGCTGACCTCATGATGCAGTGTTGGCATCATTTAAGCAGTTTTACAATTTACTGCCATGTTGACATGACAAAGATGATCATGTGAACACTTTTGGCCTCTTGTGTTTCAGGTACAGGCAGTTCATCCATATGTGGGAAAGCAGCCAGATGAACTCTCCCTTGAAGTGTCGGATGTTGTGAATGTCTTGAAGAAAATGGCTGATGGTAAGAAATATAGTGATGTAGTATACTCAATGGTTCAGTAGTATTCCTCCAACATATTCAGTACTGTATATAACATTGTAAACACTGGTTAATTTGATCAACAGTAATATGAGCATGAATGTAATGTTCCTCAATGTAGACTTTACAGTTTGAGAGGTATACAGCACTTACAAGCATGTGTGTCATCACTTCCTTAGCATTTATTATTAGATTGTGGTCTCAAACTCTGTGGACTTTCCCTGCAATAACTTCTTCCTGGGACATTCTGATCACAACCCTCATGCTAAAGAAATTCTGTATCTGCTTCCAACTTCAGATAAATGTTATAATAGTATTAATGTTTGTTATTTATTTTAGCATTACTGTAAATGTTTGAACTGTCAAGGTTAAATTAACTCTATTCTAGAATTTAAAGTATTTTTGTCTAGATTTGCTTTATAAAAATGTGTGTTCAGTTGTTAAGCATTTATATGCAAATTGTGTTGATTGGAATGTCGCCAAAATATTACTTTTGTCATAGAATTAAAATGCATGAATACATGTCCAGTATGCTAATGGAAAAGTATGCAAATTGCCTAATTGGCTTACTGCATGTTGTCACTGCAGCTTTCTCAGTTTTGAGAACATAATAAATCAAATTGTTGAATACACCGCAATTGTATGGGAAGTACAATACTGTATATCAAGTTGGTTTACATTTAGTTCAGTTTTTACATAGGCCAGTTACATAATTTTTACATATGTATTTACATTGGGTAACCACTACCCAAGAACAGTGGAGGCCAAACAGTCAAGAGTGGCTTCTGATGCTCAAAATTAGTAATTACCTAAGCGTAGTTACAGGATGAGAGCTACGCTTGTAGTGTCCTATCTTTCAACACTGTCATATAATGCTTTGAAATTACCGACAGTTTTGGCCTCCACCTTCTCACCTAATTTGTTCCAACTGTCTACCACTCTGTTTGCGAAAGTGAATTTTCTTATATTTCTTCGGCAGCTTTGTTTAAGTTTAAATGTGACCTCTTGTTCTTGAAGTTCCAGGTCTCGAAAATTCTCCCCTATCAATTTTATCGATTCATGTTACTATTTTGTACATACATAGTGATCATATCGCCTCTTTTTTTTTTCTTTTTTTTTTTTTTCCTTCTATCTTCTAATTTTGGCATATTTAATGCCTCTTGCTTCTCCTCATAGCTCTTGTCCTTCAGTTCTGGGAGACATTTAGTTGCATGTCTTTGCATCTTTTCCAGTTTGTTGATGTGCTGCTTAACACTTTGGCGCAGCATGTGCGCCCCACCCCACCCCAAGGTCGCATGGTGTTTCCCGTGAACGCGCACCCTCACTAAAATGTGTATACTCTTTAAAGTTTTCTCACCTTAATTTTCGTGCTATATTGTTCATTTTGTTATCAAATAGTTTGCAATATAATTCTCTAAAGGAATATATGCATAAAAGGTAAAAAAGCCCAGCATGCCACCTGCAGGAAACCCGAAAATCGACCGAGCGTTACCCGTGAGCGACCACCCATTCTCTCACCTGCAACACCCACACTAAAATGTGTATAATCTTTTTCAGTTTTCTCACCTCAATTTTCATGCTACGTTGTTTATTTTGGTATTAAATTGTTCGCAATAGAATTCTCTAAAGGGATACATGCATATATGAGCAAATGGGCCAGCGCGCCACCTGCAGCACACTCCCAAGTTCGGCAGAGTTTTACCCGTGAGCGTGCACCCACCACCCACCGTAGCAATTTTCATGCTACGTCGTTCAACTTGGACTAAAATTGTTCACAGTCGAAAGGCGCACATTTTAGAACTAGTCCCATAAAAATCAAACCATAAATGGAATTTTTAATATTTTAATTTTGAACGCTCATCATCTCACAAGTATTTATACTCTTTCCAGTGTTCTGACCTCAATTCTCGGGGTATGTTGTTCATTTTGGTATAAATGTGCGCATTTTAAAACTAGTCCCATAAAGATCGGGCCAAAAATGGAAATATTTTAATTTTGAAATATTTTATTTTTATTATTTTAACAAATATTTAAATTTTGGACACAACATGCATTCTCACCGGACATCCGTAAAATTATTTATGGATGCAATATCTGTCCTCATCCGCCAAAAGGTATTAAGATATGGGCACCATACAACCGCTGCATATTCCAGCTTTGGTCAAACAAGTCATGAACAATTTCTTTAGTTTTTCGCCATACATGTACAGTATTTAAAAGCAATTCCGAAGTTAGAAAGTGTAGCATAGGCTCCTCGCACAATGTTCTTTGTGGTCCTCAGGTGATAGTTTTCTATCTAGAACCACCCCTAGATCTCTCTCCTTATTAGAATTCATTAAAGATTTCTCACATAATTTATAGGTTTTGGGGGGGATCTGTTCTCCTATTCCACATTCCATAACATGGCATTGGTTCACATTAAATTCCATTTGCCAAGTGGTATGCCATACTTATTTTGTCCAGGTCTTCTAGAAGGGCATGTCAATCATCTAAGTTTTTTATCTTCCCTATTATCTTAGTATCTTTAGCAAGTATGTTCATATAATTCTGTATTCCATCTGGTAGATCGTTTATTACCGGTGCAACAACTGAACCCTGTGGGACTCCTAGTGACATTTCTCCAGTACGATACATTGCCTCTGATTACTGCCCTCATTTTTCTGTCAGAAAATTTTTCATCCGTGTTAGAAGCCTACCTGCCACTACTCCAATATGTTCCAGTTTCCAGAACAACCTCTTGTGTGGAACTCTGTCGAAAGCCTTTTGTTAGCGTTAACATAGTGTTGTCCCTTTACCAGTGACAGCATTTTATACATTACTGCACCTCTACATACACTGTTTTATTATAAAAAGTATATTTTTACCCATGTTCTCATTTGTATTGTACAATACAGTAATTGGCATGCTCATTACCTTTAGACAAAAACAAAAATTGAGAACCCAATACTACTGTAAGAAAAAACTAATTTTGTTTTAGAATCAATTGATGGTTCCTTTTTATTTTGTAACATCTGAAAATAAATGTTGACATTTTCTGTTGATTTGTCATCGAATTCAATCAAATGTGGAATACTGGTCTTCTAAGATTATATAACTTCTAACTTTCTGGTTATTAGTATTTCTGGTCAAATGGTTGTGGTTGTCTTATTAGGCATGAAGTAAAGTAACATTATTATGCATGTGGTATCATCTCACCACATGCAGACGAATGTTTGGGTTACCTACTTAACCAAAACAGGCTAACATTATTTTCTTAAACTCTTGTAGGCAGCGCGCACACAAACGTATGGTGACCACACCATAACTCGTAGATGGATAAGCAATGACGTTTTGGTCTGTCCGGGACCATTATGAAGTCGTGTAATAGTCCAGGGTGAGCCGAAAAGTCGTTGCTTCTCCACCCTCTAAGTTGGGGTTTGGTTATCAATCTTCAGCTACATTTTTGTGACTCATTGTCTACAAACATAATAGTTTTAATTGCAGGGAAAAATGAAGCCTCTTAGGCTAATCAAGATTTCCCTAGGGCAGTGTTTAACCTTTCCATAGGATGCAATACACAAGTGCATTGTGTATTACACAATAGACAATAAATCGTCTCAGAGTGGTGAGGTGTCATCAGTGGAGTCCCACAGGGTTCAGTCCTTGGACCTATCCTGTTTCTGATGTACGTAAATGATCTTCCAGGGGGGTATAGACTAATTCCTCTCAATGTTTGCCGATGCAAAAATTACGAGGAGGGTTAAGAGGCTACAAGATGATCTAGATAAACTGAAGGAAAGTTCAACCCAAGTAAATGTCAGGTAATGGAACTAGGTGAAGGAAACAGGAGGCCAAACAAAGGGTACCGAATGGGAGACAAAGTCCTCCACGAAACGGACAGAGAAAGATCTAGGAGTTGATATCACACTGAGCCTGTCTCCAGACGGCCACATCGAAAGAATATCATTAGCTGTGTATGTGAGGCTGGCTAAGATCAAAACTGCCTTTAGAAACTAGTGTAAGGAATCATTTAGAATCTTGTATACCACATATGAAAGACCACTCCTGTATGGAACCCTTACCTTGTCAAGCACAAGACGAAGTTGGAGAAGGTTTAAAGGTATGCTGCTAGACAAGTTCCAGAACTATGAGTTATGAGGAAAGGCTGTGTGAATTGTACCTCACATCGCTGGAAGACAGAAAAGTTCGGGGAGACATAATCACCACATACAAAATTCTCAGGGTAGATAAGGATATTATTTAACTTGGGTGGTACTGTACTTGCACAAGAGGACACGGGTGGAAACAGAGTACCCAAATGAGCACAGACATATTAGAAATAAATTTTTCAGTGTCAGAGTAGTTAATAAATGGAATGCACTAGTAAGTGATGTGGCTACATACACAGTTTCAAATGTAGATATGATAGAGCTCGATAAGCTCAGGAACCTGTTCACCAGTATATTGACAGTTGAGAGGCGGAACCAAAGAGTTAAAGCTCGACATCTTCAAGCACAAGTAGGCGAGTACAGCATTTGCCTTACCCCTAGATATCTATTTGTTGTTAGGTGAAGAGACATAGGGTGTAAGAAAACATGCCCAAGACGTAGGGTGTAAGAAAACATGCCCAAGACATAGGGTGTAAGAAAACATGCCCAAATGTTTCGTCCATGCCTTCCAGCTACAGTACATTCATGATTATTAGGAGTAGAAATTAACATAAATCATTAAGATTATATAGCAGTAGATGGAAGAATGAGGAGTAAGTAACTTATAGTATTGGGCAAAGTGCTGGTTCATCTCTTGAGGTAGTTGAGGCTTTAGGTTGTTGTGGTGCTCCTGCAGCACGATCACGTATCACAAGATGTAGAAAACTCCTCAACAAGCCCCTTGGAGAACTAGAGAAAATGTAGATGGCAAGGGCAAACAAATAAGAACACAATGGCCACAGGAGGGGACAGAATGTGAGCCCCAGCCATTCTCCAAAAGAGAGGGGGGGTGGAGATGTACACCTCCAAGGTGGAAATATCCTTTCATATGCTGGAACAAGTCCAGTATATGAATGGTCACACCAAGGCCAGAACACCAGTATGGTACACTAGTCCCAGTGAGGCCTCCCAGAATCATGTAGGAGATTACCACTAAATTATTAATTAACACTTTGTCTGGACGATAACTCATAATGTGTCCGTATACGAATATAATCACTGGGGGAGGATGCACGGCGAGTCCAAAATTAAAATACTGTACTGTATTCTTTAAAAATCCATTTTTTTTTTTTTGCCGATCATTATGACTAGTTTTGAAATGTGCACCTTTTGATTGCAAACAATTTGTTACCAGAATGAACGAAGAAGCACGAAAATTGAGGTGACAAAACTGGAAAGTGTAAATATTTTGAGTGCGGGTGGTGAGTGTGCGCTCATAGGTAAAACTCGGCCTAACTTCGAGGTGTGCTGCATGTGACACTGGACGATTTGACCTTATAAGCATATATTCCTTTAGAACATTCTATTGCGAGCAATTTGACACCAAAATGAACGACGTAGCACAGAAATTGAGGTAAGAACACTGAAAACGGCATAAACATTCAAGTGTGGGTACACGCTCACGAGGTAACGCTCGGCCAATTTTGGTGTTTTATGCGGGTGGCTCACCGAGCCATTTGACCTTGCATGCATATATTCTTTTAGAGAAGTTTATTGCAAACAATTTGATACCAAAATGAACAACATAGAACGAAAATTGAGGTGAGGAAACTGAAAAGAGTACAGTACAGTATATTCATTTGAGTGTGGGGTGGGTGCTCTCGAGTAATGCTCGTTCAATTTTCGGATTTGCTGTGGGTTTTTGCCACGCCAGGCTTTTTGACCTCGTATACATATACTCCTTTAAAGAAGTTTGTAAACAATTTGATACCAAGATGAACAGCATAGCATGAAAATTAAGGTGAGAAAACTGAAAAGAGTATACACATTTTAGTGCGGGTGCGCGCTCACGCAAAACCCTCGGCTTATCTTGTGGTGTGCTGGGCGGCGCGCGCCGGGCTGGGCAAAATGTTAAGGCCCAGGCCATTATTTGTGTGGAATGAAAATGCATGTATTGATGCACAATTATGGTTAAAAAAATATATATATATATATGAAGGGAAATCCTCTTGGTTCCTAAACAGTAGTTTCTTCTTCGTGTAACTATAACCGGGTGACTTGATGGTAATTTCTCTAATGTGAACATTTCCTTCTGAAGAGCATTATAATAGTTGTTTTAAACAAAATTGACAAGTTAGGCTGAAAAAGTTAAGGATTAAAAGATTTTGATTGACATCTACATAGCAAGGGATGGGTTTAAGTGTTCGAAACTTTTACCTCATGTTAACATTACACTACATAGACATTTTCATATAGATTTAACCTGCAAGAAAAGTACTGTACTTTTCAAACTAACTCCATGTCGTCTAAAAATAAGTGATGGGTCAGAAATAATAATTTTTGAAAGGTAAAGTACTGTGCAGTATAATACTGAACATGTATTCTTAAAAATTGATAACATTAATGATACACTTGTATTTTGAATAGGTTGGTACCAAGGAGAAAGGATCAGAGATCAAGAGAGAGGATGGTTCCCAGGAAGCTTTACTGTAGAGATTTCTTCCACTCACGTCAGAGCACGTAACCTTCGTCAAAGATACCGTCTTCTTGCTATATCTGGGTCTTTGCTGGACGAGTTAAAGAAAGAGAAAGAACGTTATGATAAAGAGGAGAAAAAGAAAGACAGAAGAAGAACTCTGACAATAAAGGAAGTGATATCATCTCAAGCTCAAGTAATTAGCTAATCACAGCACATTTTATGTATTAGATGGAAAATACTATTTTGGTGAAAATGAACACTCGCCTAAATATTTTGTGAGCAACATAAAATATACAGTAGTAGAAACCATTGAGTGGCAGTCCTATTTGTGCTTATTTGTAAAGTGAATACTGTAATTAAAAACATACGGGATTGTTAAAATCCAAGAACGGCAACTTGCAGATTGTACAGTATGTGAGAAACTTGTACATCAAGTTTTGTATGTATAAAGAATACAGTAATTTGTTTGAAATTTGAAGATATAAAAATTGTGCAATAATGACTGATGGTGTGTGGTGTATTTATGCTGAAGCACTGAAGAAATGATGCTATTTTCTACATACATCAGCTGCCTCTAACAATACAAGTGATTTAAAATACTGAAAAGTGTAGGCCCAACAGACAGTATTAACAGTTGAATGTGTTCAGTAGTGTTTCATGTAGTATGAGAATGAAGAAGAAAATGGCTTTAGAATTTTGGCAGGTAAAGAGGATGTTTGATAAACCTGTCAATGTATTATTGATTTTGATATAGTATATACTATTCTCTAATGTAACAATCAGCCATTACATAAAGGTCATTACATTCATTATCATTTGTAAAACAAAGTGAATGAATTTGTTATAGCGGCTAATTGCTTGTTTAGAATAGGAATATAATGGAGAAGAAAGTGTTAGATCAATGTCATGAGGGAACAGTGTCCAGTTGTTGTCTGGATATAATTCACAAGTTGTTGTGAATAGTAATGAAGAATATTTAATAAATTGGCTACTGTATTGTACATAAGATTATTGAATATAATGTTCATTAAAATGCAGTATTTGAAAGTGTACATATTTATCTGATAGGAGTATCAGATGCACGTTTGATGTATATAATGTTTATCTTTATTAAATTACAAGTTTTCTTTATAATTTCATATTCTTGTGTGCATTTTATTTTCACATTTGTAATATTTGTTATACATTACTGTAGGATTTTTGGATTATGCAACCACATTCTCTTGGGCCATCCTCTTCATTATGGATAATCAATAACCTCTTAAAGGAACCTCTTCCAGTATCTCCATCTGCTCCTTTCATATTTCAAAGTGCATTGTCTAAATCAATCCTGCAAAAATTCACCTTTTGGCACCAAGGAATTTAATTTTCTCAGGCACCTTTATGATGTGCTTGAGAACAAGCAGTTTTCTTAACTACTACTGATATGGACCCTCCCCCTGCCCCCATGTGCAAGATCATCAAGCTTTACCCCTACTTGCTCATCCTGTCTTAATCATCTTTACCAGTGATGTACAGTGAGGTTCTGTACTGGCCTTGACTCTCCCCACTACAGTCTAAACAACAATTACTCAACAGAGTACTCATATTGACACTCACCAATGTGTCTCCTATATATTGCCACATTACCTTTATGTAATTTCTTTCTCAGAATGAGAATAGAACCAGCCCCTATCATGAATACACATTTCTGGTCAATAACTATACTCTTATGTTATCTCACATAAGTAATTGCATAAAAGATCCCAAACCAGGAAGACTGCACTGTCACAGGATATTCAAAATGCCCTAAATATCACGCAGGATGCCAATATGAGAATGAAAGGATATACAGTGAGTGACATTGAAGGATTCACCACGCATTCAAGCGACCTGGAGGGACATTAGGAAAGCAAAACAAACTTTATGTTAATCTTGGAAAAGTTGGTACATTCTATATATAAAGAGGTACATGACTGAATGCAGTTTGGACAAAAAGTAGTGCTTTGTTCCAATGATGAACCGATTGTATTTCAGCCCATGAGTTAAGCATGTGTAGCTGATACAGTTTGTTACCTGTAGTGCTGACCAATGATCCTGCCAACAGTTGTGGATTGCAGAATTAATGAATTGCAAGCAATTTCTTTAGGGACATCAGAGAAGAACAATTGGCCTACTTAGTTGCAATGTCTGCACGTTCATTTTAGGTAACTCCTCTGGAAGAAAATTCACAAGGTAGCGGGTAAGTTTTTCAGATGTCTCGCCAGTCCTTCACCTCTGTGGTTCTATTGTGGCGGATCCGGTGTCGGTCGCGACCGAACTGGGTTCTCAATTTTTTACTGTTAGCTCTGGCTTTTTCGACAACCCTGCTAACTGCATCGTTATGATATTTGGACAACTGACTTCAACCCTACTAAATGTAACGTTAGGATATTTTGCAACAGACTTCAACCCTGCTAAATGCAACATTGTGGTATTTGGACAACAGCCACTTTGACTGGATGGTAGAATGACGGTCTCGCTTCATGCAGGTCAGCATTTGATCCCTGACCATCCAAGAAGTTGGGCACCATTCCCCTCCCCCCCATCTCATCCCAAATCCTTATCCTGACCCTTCAAAGTGCTATGAAGTCGTAATGGCTTGGCACTTTTCCCTGATAATTAAACAAAACAAATTGGACAACAAAGACTTCAACCCTGATAAATGCAATGTTCTGGTTTTTTTGACAACACACTTCAACCCTACTAAATGCTGTGTTATGGTATTTGCAAAACAGACTTCAACCCTGTTAAATGCAACATTATTGTACTTGGATAACAGGACTTCAACCCTCCTAAATGCAACATTATTGTACTTGGACAATAGACTTCAACCCTGCTAAATGCAATGTTATGGTATTTGGACAACTGACTTCAACCCTGTTAAATGCAATGTTTAACCAACAGACTTCAACCCTGTTAAATGCAATGTTTTGGTATTTGGTGTCAGACATCAACCCTGCTAAATGCAACATTATGATATTTGACCAACAAACTTCAATCCTGTTAAATGCAACATTTAATCAACAGACTTCAACGGTGCTAAGTGCAACATTATGGTATTTGGACAAGAGGCCTCAACCCTGCTAAAAGCAACATTATGGTATTTCAAAAATAGACTTCACCCCCACTAAGTGCAACGTTATGGTATTTTGACAACAGACCTCAACCCTGCTAAATAGAACATTATGGTATTTGGACAACAGACTTCTCTTTTTCGTTGTGATGTCTAAAGAGCTTGAAAAGGATGGGGAGGGGAAATTCTTGGAAGAGGATCTGGATATGGAGAGAGGAGGCTGGAAAGTTCGGTGGCCTCTCCACCGCGGGTTGGCACGTTTTTGTTCTTGGCTTTGGGTTTGAGATCTTCTTAAGAGCATGAGGCTAGTAGCAAGGCAGTGAAGAGTTGACCTGGTTCAGATGAGGTCTTCTGTCTGGCTTGAAGGAGGCGTATTTTCGATGGTGATGGTGAACCGGGGTGTTCTAAGAGTTAGTTTTTTGCCCGGAGATATTGGTTTGGTGTGGTGAACTTTCCTATAAATGCTCCTAACTCCAACTTAGGTATCAGAGTTCCTTCCGGGTTTTCTTTGGATTCAGAGAAGTTTATTTGTTTGGTAAATAGTGGGTCATTTGGTAAATAGTGTAAATAGTTGATTTGTTTGGTAAATAGTGTTTTGTGTTGAAGCAGGGTTTTGAGGTTGAAATAGGTCGGCTGGGACCGGCATCGTAGGTAAGTTGCTCTGGGCAAGCAGCATGTTCAGTACTCTCACGTAATTGGCAACGTCTGTCCCTGCCATCTTCACGGCTACACTGATCAGGACCGGGATGAGAGTGGTGGCGGCCAAGGTCACTGATTGGCTGACTGGACTGCTATTGCCTGAGTGCTGGGTCCCCAGAAGGGGCAAGGATCCTGGCCTGGTGTGGTAGCAGAAGCGTTGGGAAGCACTGTGAATGACAAAGCCTGGATATTGAAGCTCGCCTGCCGATTGGTTGTTGGTTTGGCAGTTACCATTTTCTTAATTTCGTCAAGTCGTACTTGACGAAACGGCAGGCATGGAAACGGCATGGAGATGGCAGTGTGAGCTCCTCCACAACTGAAACAATTTGCTGGGTGACTGGCATAACAGACTTCATCCCTGTTAAATGCAACATTGTGGTACAGTATTTGTACAACAGACTTTAACCCTGCTAAAGGCAACATTATGATATTTCGCAACAGGCTTCAACCCTGCTAAATGCAACGTTATGGTGTTTGTAAGTAAATCCCACTACTTGACTAGTGAAGCATGAATTTTTAAGCGGAACTCATGGTGATTGCACGTATTTGGAGTTTCAAATTACGACTTCTTATACTGAAAATATGCAAATTAGTGAAAAGGGCGATTGATAAGAACTTGCCCAAATTGACCTACATTTATAAAAATATCGGTATATTTTGGGATATTATTTTTATTTTGGTGTGTGTGAAATAAACTGCAGGTATGAAATTAGATCTAGAGTCAATATAATCGCTTCCTTCTTGATCCTGTAGAAACAAATAAGTTAACTACTTGCTTTTGGTCTTCATTTGATATGTCGTAAAAAAATGCAATTCTTTTGCCTAACCAAAAACAAATGAATCCAAGAAACCCAACTAATCTATTGAAGCCGATGCACAGAAAACGTGAATTTTATGGTGTTCAGTTTTGACAAAGTTTTCACAAATATGTCTCTTTTTAAAAGACTGGTTAATTATGATAAAAATAAATACAAATTAAACATATAAAGTGAGCAAATGGATTGAATACACACCCACACTCGTCATCTGTTATGCTATGAAAACAAAACACTTCAGCCCTGCTAAATGCAATGTTATATGATATGAAGATAATAGACTTCAACCCTGCTAAATGTAATGTTATGACTACATTAGACTTCAACCCTGCTAAATGTAATGTTATGACTACATTAGACTTCAACCCTGCTAAATGCCATGTTTTGATGACTACAATAGACTTCAACCCTGCTAAATGCAATGTTGTGACAATAATAGCCTTCAACCCTGCTAAATGCAACATTATGATACTACGACAATTGACTTTAACCCTGATAAGTGTTATGTTATATTACACTTATACACTATATTGTAATGTAAGGAAAATGGAGGTCTGATATCACTGTATATAGCATCTAGTTGCATCTAAAATTATGGTTTCAATTAAAAAAAAACACAAATTCATATAAAGTAATTTTTATTGTGGTGAACAGCAAATCATTTGTTTCCTATATGAATATTATCATAAGTTTGCTAACATTATCAGTAGTTATACTAATACACTACTGGTATCCTCCATGAAGACAATGGGAATGATTGTGGGGTAGTAGAAAAAAAATCATTCAAATACTACACTTGATATTTCAGTACTCTAATGCGTACTACCTCATGTGACATGACAAATTATAAATTGTATGTATTTTGTGTGTATAATATATATATATATTATATATATATCTCGAGTTGGACAAACATACAAAGAAATTAGAGATCTGAATTATTGAGTTAGACAAACCATATATTATATATTAATTACACACACAAATATACATACATAACCTAATTGCCAGAAGTGCTACTATTAGCCTAGTAGCCAAAGCAATTTTGATGAACAACCAGTTTAATTTGGCCTATTTTTTCTTACCTCTGCAAGACACTAGTCTGAACATAATGAAATTTCTATATTATCATTGACCTCATTTACCAATTGTATTAGGCATAGTTTTACCTAAACTGGACAAAATTAACAAATAATATACATATTTAAGTTAGGCCATATTGCTAAGTTAATTCTTGGTTAAAATTAAAAATTACACAATGAGTGTAATGAAATGCCTTTTTCTGAGAGGCCCTCAGTATCTCCCAAGTGGTATGTGCTAGTTCCACTAAGCCTTAGGACTGTGTGTCAGGCCTTTTGAGACCCACATAGACCAACCAAGAGCCAGGACTAGAATGACACCTCTCTCAAGGACCCGAGTGGAGCTTGGAAAACAGATATCGTTCAAATCTAAGGAAAATCTGACTAGGAATTCAGACAAAATAACTATAGATGGAAAGAAAATAAAAGCTTAAATGTAGGAATACATATTGGCAGTGGGTGATAAATTTAGCCCTAACTTACCAAGAAATGGTTTACCCCTGCCACTGGGGGGCCTCAGCCCTCCACTTGTAAAAAAAAAATGAGAGGGGAAAAGGCAAGACAGGGATGGGAAGTCCCCGAGTACATTGCAGGAAAGTGCATTTCATCCACTTAATACTAATTTCCACAAAGGCACCTCAATAGCTCTTTGGTGCTTACTGTGGCACTCTGGAGAGAACAACTTTGTTAGAAATACAAAATAAGCAAAACATGAAAGGCTGTATAAAGCCTTATCTGTGGGAAAGTATGGTGGATGAGCACCAGCAGAATGCCTGATACCCAAGTGCTACACAAGTGTGGTGTGCCAAACACTCAAAATGCCATGCAAGTGCAGTGAGGCTCCTGGAACATCTAACAGGTAGTGATACACCAACATCCTGTTAGTATACCAAAATACCACTGCCCAGACTGCAGCCATGGACAGAAGCAAAGAATGCTGCTTAAGCAGCATAGAATGCTAAACTAAACAAATTAGCAGAATACCAGGCCAGGGACAAGAGATGGAAGGTGAATGACAAGTGTGAAGGGCGCACACATCCACACATCATCACACCAGTGGCTAAGGTGCCATAGGGATCCCCCAAAATCAGGAAGAAACACAAGGGCCAAAGACCCATGAGAAGACAAAAGGCCAGACACCAAGGCCCAAACCATGGTCAACAGGAGGAGGCTAGTAATTCTCATAATGAGCAATAAGGAACCTCAAAGGGGACAAGGGTTGAGAAAAATGCATAAACCAATACCCCAAAATCCTGACCTCAAAGAATGTAGACAGAAAAAAATGGAGGTGGACAATCAACCACTGGCAGGACACAACTCAACTTGAAACTTGCAGCCACTACCAAAAAGAGCAAAGAGGACAGCACAAAAAAAAAAAACTACAGTAGCAGGAAAGAACCTTAGTGCCGATAGGAAAAGAAGAAATGGGGAAGACAACCTGGGAGTGCACCAGGAGACTAACAACACGAAAGGACAGGAGATCCTGCCCAGTTAATGGCTAGGGACACATGTTGCTCGAAAAAGGTACAGCAGCCCTCAGAAGTGAAACTGCCAAGTCAAACTGGGTAAACCACGCTCATGCTGGATAAATACACTGAACATGCAGCCCATCCTCCTGTTTAGGTAGTACTTATAGTAACAATGAGGACCCATAGTATATATACCAACGTACAAAGAAATTAGAAATCTGAACTACTGAGTTGGACAAACTGGAAAACTATTATTGAATTGTGTTGTTTTTACTAAGTAAAGTAGCCTAACCCAACCTTTTCAGGCCTAATATAGTACATATTTATGCTATACTAGGCCTAGGAATATTTAAGTTTGTTTTTAGCTTTATTTTAAAAGAATTCCTTACTAGTCGGTATACTACTATCTAAAATCTATGTACAAAATCGTGACAATTGATGACCGTCACAATAGGTACTATCTAAACAGGAGGAAGAGTTGGAACATGATGGCAGATAAATGGCAAGAGTAGGAAGAGCAGGGGTCAGGAGTGGACAAAAAGCACACTTGGGTAAGAATAAGTACATACTCCAGCTCATAAAAGAGTGGAGAATTTGTAACTTCACCCCAGTGGCAGCCTTGAAAGACACTGGCAAAAAGCACTGAAATGCATTCTGAAAAAATGGAAAATCCAGCTGCAAACTGGGTGGGGAATCCATCACAATCTTAGCAGACATAAACGAGGTAAACAAACTTCCCAAATGCAATGGAAATCAGCCCAGGCTATTAAACCTGCAGATGTTATCAAAGCCAGTTAAGAAAGAATAACATAAGCCCCACGTGCAGATCTTGCAACAGTGCAAGACACTAACACAGTGCACTCGACTCAGTGATACGAATAAAACACACAAGCATACAAGTCTTCATCAACAGGCCCCATAGAAGAACCTGAACCTTTCGGAGAAGATATCTCTGGCGGAAACAGGAAAGTGAAAGCCAACAAACCCAGAAAGAGAACCCTGGGACTTAAGTGGAAGCAAAATAGGAAAATCTGGAATGCACTAATGTATATTGTTGGTATAAAACAGTTATGAAGTGAAAAGAAGAATGTAACAACTAAGCAGTTCCTGACACCCAACCCATCTATCTGAAAAGAAAGGAATTGATGATGTTTCAGACCATCCTGGACCATTCTCAAGTCAACTTGATAATGGTTCAGAATGCACCAAAATATTGAAAAATCCCTTTATTTCAGATTTGTGGGTTGGGTGTCTAACTTCAACACACACATTATTGAGAGTTATTGTCAACAGTTTCAGGAATACCTAACTCCATTCATTTGTGCCAAGACGGGTCTATCTCTAATCTTCAAACTCACCCTGTCTGTGAGAGTCAGTATCTGGGTCAGGTCTCAGTAGGCGAGCATGGACGTGAAGAGGTCCGGTAATATATTAGTGGTATCAGTACACAAGCAATGGAGAGCTACTGAGGTGGCCTTCATAGAAAGCCCCACAGAAAAATGTACATGTATTTAAATATAATTATGCACCAATTCACAACATAAAATTTGATTAGTTATAGTTAAGAATTTAAGGATATTCAGCCTTCTGGACAACTCTGGTTATCAAGGATGAAATATATATTATATATATTATATATATTATATATATATATATATATATATATATATATATATATATATATATATATATATATATATATATATATATATATATATATATATATATATATATATATATATTATATATATAATATATATATTATATAAATATATATATATTATATAAATATATATATATTATATAAATATATATATATATAATATATATATTATATAAATATATATATATTATATAAATATATATATATTATAATATATATCATATATACAGGGCTACGATCAAGTTTTGTATTTTTCTAACAATTTCCTTGACTTTGTACATTGGGATATAAATCCTGGTTTGTCGCAAAACATTATACGAAACAGAACTTGACCATCAACCCTACAGCTTGTGTATATTTCATTCACAAGTGTGTGACTCGCCAAAATTCAAGTGCAATGTATGACTAAACAAGTTAACTCCAAATATGTTCACAATTTAAACATTTGAAGTGTCATATCCTACCCATGGCAAATACCTAGTTTATTATCTAGTTCATGCTCTCACCAACCTCCTCACATCCCACCCCTCCCGCCCAAAAAAAAGGAACCAATTATCTATATTTTCTCTATTTGAATATAACCCAATGCATGGGGTTTAACATTTAGTCAACAATAAAAAACACTAGCACGTGGCTGAAAATAAATGTACCTGATTTCTTATACAATGCTATGTCTATTTAGAAACCTTCTCTGTACTGTCTAGATTCTAAACGAGTTATAATGTTCTCCAACTGGCGCCGAGCCTCACACTGTGGGAAGTTCTGCATGTCATAATAGTTAGGGGCAACTTTGATGAGCCAATCAGCTGAAAATAAAAATAAGATCAATGATAATAAGAATAATAAATACATTTAGTTTCTTACAAATTAATTGACATATTTGCATAAGTTTCAAAGTTACAAAATGGAAATATTTCAGCACTTAAGTTAGCCTGGATGAAAGTACAATCGCAGGAAATTATTAAGTAGGCATCAGCAATGTTCAAGAATGTTACAGAATATGATTCATGAACTCAAAGATGATTTTGTATTAGTACTTTCCCATAATTTAATTTTCAACTGGTACAGCAACTCACTGTTTTGTGTCTTAAAATATCTTAGAATGCATTCACTCTGATTCACTACACTATTTACTAAGGATATTTCATACATTGCTATCAAACTTATCATTTAACACTCACATTCAAACTCTTCCCTAACTTACCATCCAGTATATATATACAAATATATACTGTATGTATATGTATAAATGCACCAAAGAGCAACTGAGGTGCCAGCCCAGAAATACAAGAGCAGCATAATAAGCATACTCAATGATTTTTCTGTATTTCAGTCCGGAAAAAACGTAATTTGTTGAAGGAGCGAGCCGTGATCAGGTTTGAAAGTTTTGTTTGTCATTTCACTTTTATGAATTTTCAGTGGAAAAACTAGATATATTTACACATCTGACAAATGTAATATCTATTCAATATAAATATGTTCTTGGCACAGCTCTAAGTAAGCGTCTTGTAACCCACTCCTTTGCTGCTATTGTGTCTGGTAATGTCATCCAGAAATAGTTTCAGATACTAGTGGACAACACCAAATTATGATTTGGCAGTAATTGCCTTGCTTGAGCTACAAGATGGCCTCATCTACAGTTGGCAGTTATAAACAAAAGCAATTTTTTCACAGCAGAGGGTCTAGGTTAACTCCATTGCATAAATACTTTATATATATGTATTAAATTGACATCATTTGTACAAAATCAGAGATAACTAAAATCAACTCCTGTTCTGAAGGTTACACATACTGAACCCATGCTCCTGTTCTGAAAGCCAATTGTCTGGACTAATATTACAGGATGTAGGCAATTTTTTCCAGGTATTTGCTTCAACTTATCTCATAAATGACAACTTTTTATGAACTAAGCATTACCCGTATTATATCCAAAGGGTTTATGCCTCCAAATTTTACTATTTGTGAAGAGGCTAAGAGGCCAGAATATGATGAGGGTAGATTTGTTTCAGGGTAGGCAGCTTAATGCAAGTTTTCACATTCTGAGCATCATACCCTAGGTATGATGGATACATCTTCATCTATGATTAAGATTCCTATAGAACAGGGACAGGAATGCTAGTATTGAGACATCAATTTCTTTCAATGTGATCTGTTGCCAACATGGTTCGAAATATTACAGCCCATGTGACTGGATGCTCGCATTATGCTGGTATTAACAGCAGCATTCTCACTTTTAAATTCAAGTCTAGCTGCATAACCAAGGGTGTTGTAGATATAGTATGGCGGTGTTCACCAAAACAGCAGTGACTAAAAGTGCCATTTCAATATTGTCATTGTGTTTACCATCCCTGATTATTTATGGCTGCAACTGTCCAAAATTTTTATTGCATTGCAGTATGTGATAAGTTTCTGGTGGAGTGGTTTAGGGGGTGTCTAGAAGGTAAAGCATGTGTGTGCCGTATCTACATCTTGTGAGGTAACTGTCATAGCACGTCAACCAAAATTTGCCTATTTCATCATAGAAGTCATGCTGTGTCAAGGTTCCGGGGTCCAACTATAACACATCATTCATACGAGCGTAAAAAATTGGACAAACTGTCAGCTTCCACTCCTTTGTTTGGCAAGGACATGGGCCTCATAAACAATACTCATACTGCTCTCTAGCCATTAGCTTTGAAAGTCTCATTCTACTACATCCTGGATAATTATAGCATATAAACCTCTCTAACAAGACCCACGGGAAAAGGGTTTGTTCTTTGTCCCTCGTACTTTTTCCCTTCAAAATCTACGAGGCATCATTTCACACCTCGCCTTTCCTTTTTTCTCTAAAATATATGCCCTTCGTATATCTCACTAACCCTTACGCTGCTAAGCATAAGGGACCAGAAGGCATAAAATATTTGAATTATGTAAAAATTACTTTAAAATGTTAAACAAATCTCCAACTTATTGGCTTCAGTGTTGTGAAAGTTTTATAAAAATATTTTCAGAAAATGAGTTTAGACGAATTGTTTAAAAAGAAGAACGTTTCGTTGATAAGAACAGCTCCTATTAACTGGAACTGAGGAATACTGCAGTAACAAAGAGATGCAAGCACCTGTCCGACACACAAAGAAGAATAGTAGCAAGTAAACATAGCATATCCACAAAGTGGATATGCAGTGTGTGCCTTTATAGCATTGCTCAGTAATACATAATAAATAATAATGAATAGGTATTGTATTATGCTCTATTTTGTTATACAGTATGTCATACATTGCCCAATATTATGTTATTTTCACCAACGTAAAAAAAAAAAAAATATTGGAGCACGTATTTTTTTTCTTCCTTTGTTTATTACAGTATTTGATCTTGTTGTAACCTCTACATCTCGGAGAGTACATACCCGTCCATCCCTAACTATGTGAAGATAGAATGAAATTGGTCAACAAATAAATCGGCCACACCTGGAAGAACCTGGGGGACTTCAATTTTTTTTCACATATTTCAAACTATTTTCTTTGTCCCTTTAGGTTGTTTTGATGATTAGGGACCACATTAGGGCTCTATCACTTATATAAGTACTGTACTGGTATATCTTAAATATGTCCCGTAAATCATTATAATTATCCATATATTTTGTTTTTTGTGGGGGTTATTTTTTCTTGACTTCATTTCAACACAAATTGACCTGCAACTTTCACATATTCCAGTACGAATGCCAAACAATGTTCATTAAAACATACAAGTAAATTAATGAATTAGAACTACTGTACCTCATTCATTGTCGATTACTTCAACTTCAATTAACTCTAAAACTAGAGTTTCAACTTTAGTTAGCATCAAAAAATCCAGTTTCTGACCAATTCTCACCATTTTTAGATATAGTGTTCACAGCTGTTTTACAAATCGCTATAGAATGGATTTTTCATAAATCCTAAACATTTGGAGTTATTTTTTTTTGTCTAATTTTGGTGCATAGTTCAAATGCCACACTGACAATTTTTTTTACAGTAAACTATACTGAAAACCTATATTCTAAATCTATGAAAATGAAGATCACATGCTATTCTGTGAGTATAACAACACCAAATGAACAAATGGTGATATTTTATATTATTGCAGCCGATTTCAAAATCTGAAGTTTTCAATATTAATTTTTAGAATTATTTTTTGTTTTCTTGTTTTTCAAGTTACGTTGGTGATCATTTAGATAAAGTTGGAGCGTTTGCTAGTAGATTATGCACAAAAAATTTGAAAGCGTTTGAGCAAGTTTCTGAAACTTGGTTACATGCCCAATCGCCTATGTATGAATTGCACAGTCACCAGTCACTGCGTAACTATAGTGCCTGGTTAATATAGTTACTGTATTCCTTTCTAGATTGTTTGGCAATGAATTGCTTAGAGCAAACAGGCATGAGACTTGAAACCTCACTCATTAATACATTACATTAATCAATTTAGCTGTAAGATAACCAATTCATAATAAAATCTAGTTATTAATCTTAAAAGCTAAATAAAATGTTATACTTGTTATAACCACAAAGAAAAATTCTGTACAGGGCAAACAAAAATAAAGTTGATTAATTTACACTTGCGGATACGGTATTTTTATGCACCACAGAATACCCACTTCCCCTTCACTTAACTGCCTAGTTTCACTCCTAGTTTCCTGCCTAGTTTTCACTCAACCAGCTTAACAATACAATAAGACACTAGCAACAAGTTAAATGATGATATTTGAAAAGCATGTTAGCAAAGCCCTTTTGTTTTTTTAACACTTTCGCTCTCCGTTAACGCCGCTGGCATTAGAAACTTTTCTCGAGTCCAATCCGGTGACGTGAGTGGCATCAACATTTTAAAATATTTGTTAAAAATTTAAATTTTATCCGATCATTCTGGGAGTGATTTTAAAATGAGTGCCTTTAGATTGAACACAATTTGATACCAAAATGAAAGATGTAACACGAAAATTGATGTCAGAACACTGGAAAGATTATAAATAATTTTTTGCATCCAAAATTTAAAATATTTGTTAAAATTTCATTTATTGTGCTATTATTATGGGACCAGTTTTAAAATGCACGCCTTTAGATTGTGAACAATTTGATACCAAAATGTAAGATGTAATACAAAAATTTATGTCAGAACATTGGAAAGATAAATAATTTTGTGATGATGAGCGTCCAAAATTAAAATGTTAAAATTCCAGTTATTGCTCTATTATTATGGGACTACTTTTAAAATATGTGCCTTTATATTGTGAACAATTTGATACCAAAATGAAAGACGTAACACGAAAATTGATGTTATAAAACTGAACGAGTATTCACATTAGGTTGCGGTGTGCCAATTGCCAATTGGTGCTTGTTCACGGGTAACTTTAAACTTTAGGCATTGCTGTCGGGAGTCACGCCGGGCTTTTGGACATTATATGCATATACAGTATACCTGAAGGGAATTTAATTGCGAACACAATGATACCAAAACGAACAACATAGCAAGAGAATTAAGGTGAGAAAACTGAAATGAATATACACATTTCGGTGCTGCTGCGCACTCGCACTGCCGGGAGCACAACCTAAAAGTTTTTTGCACGCTCGCCCGGGGCACGATTAAAAAAAATTAAAAAAACCAGTGTTGAATGTAATGAAACGCCATTTTCTGGGCGAGTCCCGGAGGCTCCCCAGAGCTATCCAGGCTGATAGGGATAGTCCTAGCTTTTGGCATCAATCGATAAGGGTGGAGTTCTAGGCCTACTGGGGACCACGGCCAGAACTTGGGCCCCCTCAGAGAAGCACGAGGAGCAATGGCCCATAGAAATGTA